ACTAACACAAAAAAAAAAAAAAAAAAAATCAAATTTTAAGGGACTGACAATTAACTAGTTCAGCAGATCTATCACTCCTAGTTGCAAGAACCTTCCAAAATTCTCCGTGTGTTACTGCAGAAGATTCAGCATCTTCACTGAATGAAGTATCTGGTGATGACAATATTGATTGGGAGAAAGCTGACTCGGCATGTTCATTTTGCATGTCAGCCTGCAACACTGTAATGTTGTGATTAGCATCCTTAGTTATTACATGAAGTTTTCCAAGCAAACCAGCCAGGAGATAAGGAGATTCTGAATCAGTGAAATCATGAATAGGAACATCTCCTGCTGCAACTTTCCAAGTATCACCTTCATAATCATATACCTTGATCTTTGCACTGTCAAGAGAATTTGAAGGATCAAGTGCATAAAGATCATCATTGACAGTAACACTTAGTTTTGTTCCAGCTTGCCTTGCAGGCCAGCCTTCACCCATGCCCATAGGCATTTCAAGCCATGAATTTTTGTTTGGATCATAAACTTCTCCACCAACATCAACAAAAAATGGCCAGCAATACAAACTCTGAGGAACAAATAACCTTCCCCTGTATGAAGCCATTCCTGTGGCAATAGGCTTGAGTAAGTCAGCCAAAAAAGCAGTTGGCAACACTTGAGCTCTTGCAAAAGGCATGCTAGGTAATTGGGACCACATGCCAGTATGAGGGTCATATACTTCTGCAGATTGAAGAGGGCTTAGTCCACCACGACCCCTAGTAACCCCTCCGACAACATAAAGCTTATTATTTAATATCCCTGTCTTGCTGTAGGCTCTACCAACTGACATTGGACTAGCCTCAGTCCAAGAGTTTTTAATGGGATCATACTGCCAAACAGATTTCATTGCTGAAGCTCTTGAAAATCCTCCTAATGCATAGATACAACCATCAACAGCTCCTATGGAGCAGCCACAAAATGGCATCCAGTCCAGGGCATCTCTCCTCCCAAGCCAGCTCATTATGACATCAACAATTCTGATACTTGAACCCATCATGCTCCACATCCGAAGGGGAAAGGAAACCAAACCTTTCTTCGTTTCATCTTCAAATCCAACTTTTGGCATTGGCGGCAACCTTTGCCATCTTCTGGAAAGAGGGTCCAAGGCATACCATAAAAGCTTATCATCCTTGACCTTTGTCAATAAGTAGAGCCACTCCTCCATGGTTCCAAGCTCTTTTCTCACACAAAATAGCTCAGAACTCACAAGGGTTGCCTTCCAAGCACGGCAAACTAACTTCAGATTTAAATAATAAATTCGAGGAACTCTAGCTAGAATCTGTATTGATATCTCATCAGGTAGGGGTGGAATCAGTCTCGCGTTGTCCTCACAAGAGGTTGATGACAATCTCTGTCTCTTGCAGGCTTTACCTTGTAAAACATCATAGGGATCATTCCATCTAGTCTTGGAATTGTTCAGATTCAGTATATTCCCCATTAAAACCACTTCAAACTCGAACCAAAACCAAGCAAGCACATCAAACTTCCAAGATTAATCTGTTTCAGAGCATCATCAGTATAAATCATCTGTCAGTACATTCCAAGAAAATGCACTGATGAATATAAATAAACGATTTGTCTCAATAGGTGTAAGCTTTTGACCAAAGTACAGCATCCATTTCACAAGCATTTCCGCAAGTAATGAATCAAAAGGCAAAGAGAACATTAGAATAGATGCATGCATAAGTTGTGAATATACAAGAGACTAAAGAGAGAGGCACATCACACTCACAAGGAGATAGAAAGAGAGATTGATTGTTTAGAGTTAACACGTGTGAGTATTGTGTGAGAGTATGAAATAGACCCAGAGTTTTTGAAAGGAAAAAAAGAGCTTTGTTGACTGTTTTGGATATACTCAAGAAAATCAGGGGCTAAAGTCTCCCTAACGGCCACAATGAAGACAATTGGCACAGACTACAGAGAAATTGTAATTTAATCATATATCATAAATTATGAGCAAACCCTAGTTTTATTTCCCCAAGGCCATTCCGCCATCATTATTGATTAGTTCTTTGATAGGAACTGTATTTGTAGAACTGATGAAGAAAACTAAAATAACGAGCCTTGCTTACAAGAGAATTTCACTGCTGAAGTATAACTGAGAAATGAAAGAAATGAATATAATCAGAGCAAGAAACCTTCTCTTCCTTGGGGCACAAGCCACTCCTCACAACCCCACTGATTGCCCACCTTTCATCTCCTCACTCATTCACTTCCCATGCCACTAATTCTAACTAAAGTATTTACACTTTGCACAAGGATACCTGATCCCTCTCTCAAACAAAATGCTAGTGAGGAGGAAGGGGAGATACAGTGGCAAGGCAACCTACTGTATTAGATTTTAATAGCACGGTCGGTTACAACAAACACTATTGCCAATAGCTCACATTCATTGATTTAGCCTTATTTTTGTCTGTAAAAGGCTTGGATAATAAAATCCAACGGTCGGTCCTGTTGCATTAAGTATAGCTCCAGTCCAATCCCATATCATGAACCATTTGTCTATATCAGAACTTGGCATAGCCAAAATAGGAAGATTTTCCATAGCTATTTTCATCCGTTTGAGGGCCCTGTGCTACCTCTAACAACTTAAAACTGTTCTTTAAGGGCTGGGTTCGAGGCTTAACTATTACCCCATAATTCTTTACAAAGCATTGTTACTTGGTACTAACCCATCAAATCTGAAAATTCCTCTTAAGCTTCTGATATCACTAGGGACCGACTGACCATTTCCTCATAACGCCCATCTTTGCTAGGTCTTTCATAATTGCAACTACTGAAATAACATGATCAAGATACTCAAGTGCTGTATCCAAAACTGCACTTCTTCTAACTAACCCATAACTAATGTTCCCAATGATTGAAAAATCAGGACTGTACACAAGGATGTCATCAAAAAATACAGAACAATTTACACATGAGGCCTAAAGATGTTATTCATAAGAGCCTAAAATGTTAAGGGGGCATTTGTTAGGCCAAAAGGCATTACCTGATATTTGTAGTGTCATTCATGAGTCCTCAAAGCTGTCTTGTGTATATGCCCTCCTTCTTCATGCATACGTTGAGAGCCAAACTTCAGGTCAAGTTTTTAGAAAATAGCAACATCAATCATCCAAAAACTCCTCTATAAATAGGAAATTTATTAGGGATGGTGATGTTATTGAGAGCCCTATGCCAACTATCATCTTTTTTCTTGATTAAAATGAGTAGACTTGAAGGGCTTGTGCTAGGCCTAATCAAACCATATGCTAGCATATCACGAAAAAGTTTTCAATCTCTTCCTTGAGGCATTGACAAATATTAGGGATTTGAGGTCCTTCCTATAATATAATGACATGGTCACATTCTATATTATTATTAGGTGGCAAATAAGTCTCCTCATTAAAATCACCCTCAAACTGTGGAATCGTAGTATGTGCTTCCATACATGTTCATCATCCCCAACTCCACATAATAAGCTCCCCTCAATCGTCAATTCTTTTCTAATGGCTTTTAAAAACATTACCATACAAGACAAAGTTGTACCCCCTTAATATCTATGACCTTCCCATCTTTGTATTATTTCAATCAAATAGTGTTTTAAAGCAGCAATGAACTTGCCAAAACTCTAGAGCCATTCATACCCCAAAATCACATCTACTCCCACCAAATCCAATAAACAGAAATCCTAAACAATCTTAAGGTTTGATTTTGAACAAGGGTCGACCTAACGGTGAAAGATTTGGGTAGTATGCTTGAGATCATAAGTTTTAACCTCAATGCGACCATTGTACACCAAAAAAAACAATCTCAAGGTTTGGTAACCACAATTTTACTCCCCAGCACACTCCTTGACTCCCCAATCACTGACCACATTACCCACGTATAGAAAATTCCCCTTGGTAGTCTTGGTGAGAATATTCAACTCCTCCACCAATATCAAGGACAAAAAACTATGGGAAGCTCCAAAATCTACCATTATTATGACTTCTTTACAGTAATGGTTCCCCATAATTTTAAGGAAATTTTTCATGTCATACATGCAATACTACTTGCATTTAACTGTAAATTTACTTCTTCAGTTACTTGATCTCCTTCCTATCCCGCTCATCCATTTCCTCAGTTTCTCCAAACAAAATCACATGGAGATGCTTGTTAAGACAAACATAGCCAAGAGAATACCTCATCACAAGAGAAGCATTGTCTTAGGGTCCAGTAAACCTCCCACTTAATGCCGAGTTGAGAGTAAGCCCAACTCTCTTTGCCGAACTCCTTATTGAATGACCTAAGGTCCAATTTTGATCCTCTATCTTCTATGCTAATATCATTAGTGTGTTTGTCTCCTGCACCCATCATTAACTTCAGCTTTAATTTCCTTTTTCAACCCATTCATAAATGTCCTTCTCGTGAACTGTTCATGTGAAGAACAATAGAGCAAACAAAAGCTCAAATTGCTACCTGTACTCCACGACTAGCCCCCTCTATCCCAGGCCCATTAAGTTCTCATAAGGATCCCCGACGAAGATAACTGAAATTAGCCCAACACAGCATATCAAAGAATCAGCCTAGTCACCACAGCTACCCTTGGTTACCACCATTGGAACCAACTTAAACCCCCCCCCCCCTTCCAAACATACACATACCACTGTAGCGTCAACCTTCACTGCCTCCAAAATACAGTTTATTTTGAAGTAGCACTCCACCCATTGAATGTGGAACCTCAACCCACTTCACTTGTTCCTCACTTCGTTTTTTCTTGATCATCAAGTCAAACAGCCATGTTCTGAGTTCTTACCATCCCCATTGCTTTCTTCCTCCTACATTCCACCTCGTCTACTTTTAAGCACACCTTTAATCAGTTTGTCATCTCCTCCATTTGCCAACCGATAGATAACTTCTTGAATGGATGTTTGCATCCCATCTAGTTGATGTTGTCGCTCAACACTCTTGAGTTTGCTCTCCATTTGTGTCATCCTTCACCACCTCCAAAATACAGTTTATTTTGAAGTAGCTCTCCACCCACGGAATATGGAACCTCAACCCACTTCACCTGTTCCTCACTTCTTCGTTTTTTCTTGGTCATCAAGTCAAACAGCCATGTTCTGAATCCTGACCATCCCCATTGTTGTCTTCCTCCTACATTCCACCTCATGTACTTTTAAGCACTCCTTCAATTAGTTTGTCATCTCCTCCATTTGCCAACCGATTGATAACTTCTTGAATGGATGCTTGCATCCCATCTAGTTGATGTTGTCATTCAACACTCTTGAGTTTGCTCTCCATTTGTGTCATCACCATCTAGAGTCTCCTGGGATAGGAAGCTCTAATACGAAGCTGAAAGGAACTGTATTTATTAGAGAATTGATGAAGATAACTCTGAGAATGAGTGCTACTTACAAGATTATTTCACCACTGAAGTATAATTGAGAAACAAAAGAAAGAAATGTAATCAGAGAAGAAAATCTTCTTTACCCTGTGGCACAAGTCACCCCCATGGTATTACAATGATTTGCCAACCCTCCTCCCCACCCTACATCACCTTATTCTTATTTACTTCCTTTATTGATTTCAGCATTCCCCATTCTCCTCCCTTGCAACCACATGTCCTGTTTGTTAGGATTCAGCATAATAGGATTTTCCACATCATTTCATACACCCACAATATCGCTCTTCTCCCTTTTACAATACACTCTCAGTGAAAGCCCCATTAGGGAGAACATTTTTCTTCATTTGGTACATCTAGATATTTGCCAGAAAGCCACCTTAATTGCAGTCATCCCTAGCCCGCCTTAGTTGCAGCCTGTTTGGGGGCTACCTTAATTGCATACTCAAGGGTGGTCATTTAGTTTCACATTGACAAGAGATATGGCTTAAATAGAACTTATAAATATTAAGCAATCCTCAACTTACAAGTTGTTTTTGTGGGGTTGAGTAAGCCAAAATTCTAAGATAATATCAGAATCTATTATAGATTCATTATTGGGCCACCTGCATTTGCCATGCTTCAGGCCACTAGCCATGGGCATGAGGGGAAGAGTTGGAAGGCCATTTTAACTACAATTACCCCTAGTCCACCTTAGTTGTGGCCTCTTTGGGGGTTGCCTTAATTGCTTTATTCCATATCGACTAGAGATATGGCATAAAGAAAGCTTATACAGTTTGGAAAGTCTTTACCAAGCTGATTTGTAGAGTTAAGGTGGGCCTTAAGCCAAAATTCTAAAAATATTTATTTAAAATAAGTATACAAGTGAGTAAAATGAATAAATTCATAACAAGTTGCCAGCAATCTCATTATATTTCCAAAACAAAACCACCAAACAGCTTGAAATTGAAATACAAAAGACTCAAATTAAAAACATCACCATTCAGACAAGTTCTACTTGCAGAAGAACACCAAAACTGTACAATAAATAAGAATTCTTTACAGTATGCAGAAGAATATAGGTTAAAGCAAGAATTGGCTTTACAAATAAAATCATCGAGAGAAGGGACAATTAAGAGATTAAAAGTAAAAAGTCACTCACATCAAACAAGCATTTTAGTATACAAGCATCTTATACTCCACTCCTCTAGAGAGTCTCCCTCCAGAAGAGAAATAAGCACTGAAACAACTAACAGAACATGAATACAATGCCCACATTTATACCCTGAAAAAACAAAGTCAAAATACATACATGTTAAAAAAATTTATTAAAAAAAAAAAAAAAGGACCCAGAGGTCAATTAAGCACCTCAAAAGGGAACCACCTAAAAAGTGATCGAAAAATTCGTAAATTTTGCTAAACACCGGAAGGGGGATACCTTCCAAACTAGCATGCAATGGATCATAGAGACAGAAACACGTTTAATCAAGCAATCGTTCCTTAGAATAAAAAAAAAAAAAGGGGGCCCAATTTGTATGGTAATAATCCAAAAGCAGCATCTAGAGGTCAAAAATTGAAGCAAGCAAAACCACAAAAGTAAGAGGATAACAAATACAACGTCATTGGAGAAACATACAAGGAAGAAATTGCAGCAGCAACAATACCTGATGTTAATCCTCGACACCAGAAATCGATTCCACGAAATTTCCTAACCAGTGCTGCAACAGAGGCATAAGGCAGAAGAAGAAGAGTTCAAGATGAAAGTAACGACCAAAGAAAAATATTGAAGATCATTGAATTACTCCCCACGACTTGGGATATGAGAAAAAATAAAAATAAATGAATCGTAAAATAATACTAAGAAGATACAAATTAAACAAAAATTGACACATCACAGAGTATCATTGTTTTTTAATAATAAAAGTTTATAATGTTTTTATAATAAAACAAGTATCATAGATTTTATTATTTACTTTATGAAAATGATTAAAATAAGATTTTATAATTTTCTTTAAGAAAATGGTTAAAATAAATGTGCTTAAAAAAAAAAAAAACAAGATATATCTTATCTGAAAGTTACGATGAATTTTTTTAAAGTATTAAGATTCATTTTTTAAAAAATCACATTTTAACAAATGAGTTTTCATACAAACAGATTAGGGGTTAAAAATGATTATATATTTTAAAAAAATAATATTATTTATTAATCATGTCATATTTTATTGGTAAAAATATTTTATTTTAAATGTGTTTTTTTATTTTTATTTTTATTCTCAAAATATAATAAAATAAAATAATAACTTTAAGTTGCAATAAAAAGTAAATAGTTACAAGATATAAAACTTTAGGACAATTATAAAACTTATTTGATATTTTTTAAGAGAAATTCTAACATGAAACAATATGTTAAGTGATATTGAGGTGAAGTAGGAATATAAAGTGTAGAGTTAGGTGACTCACACGTTATAAATGATTTTTAATTGTATGATATATTGTTTAAATTTGAATGTATGAGATTTTGTTGTTATGATTTACTAATTTGTCATTTTATAAAAACATGTATTATTCATTAGATGTTGATTACGGTACGATCAGCTTACCGGTGGCTAACAAAGGATCATGGGTTGGAAACCTCTGCAGGTTGGAATTGGATTTGGAAGTTGCCACTTCCAACTAGTTTGTGTTTCTTTCTTTGGCAGGGTTGTCATCTGGCTCTACCTGTTAAGGAGTTTCTTTGTCAACGTGGCGTCTTGGCTTCCAATACCTGCCCTTAGTGTAACTTTGCCGTGAAAGCTTTGAGCATTGTTTCTTTACTTGTCCAATGGTGCAGGAGGTGTGGAAGCGGTCTGGTTGCGATTTTTCAACACATACTCTTGATGAGACACATCATAGTTGGCTTGAGAAGCGGGTGCAGACGCATGGAGCTCTGTTTATAATTATCATGTGGTTTATCCGGTGCCACAGGAACAGGTTCATCTTTGATCAGGTGGATTGGAACTTAACATCTATTCTAGCTCAAGCAAATGCTTTACTTCAATTCTCTATTTCTGCTTTTACGAGTATTGACTGCTCGCCTCGGCCTCTACCCCGTTTGGTGCATTGGATTCACCCCCCATTGGATTCAGTGGCTCTGAATGTGGATGGGAGTAGGATTGGCACGCCTGGTAGAGGGGGCTTTGGTGGCTTGTGTCGAGACCATGAAGGATAGTTCCTTTTTGGCTTTTATGGCTTTTTGGGAGAGGCTTCTGTTATTCAAACAGAGATCTTAGCTCTTTTCCACGGACTTCGTCTTTGTTGGGATAAAGGGTTTCGAAAGATTGTTTGTTATTCATACTCTACTTTGGTGGTATCTCTCTTACAGAGACATATTCCATTGTTTCATCGCTACGGAAATCAGCTCATGGAGATTCATCAGTTGCTCAATTGTGACTGGACTTGCACTATTGTTCACACTTTACGTGAGGGTAATAGTTGCGCAAATGCTCTGGCTCGAATGGGAGCTTTAGGAAATGATAGGCTAGTTATTTTACAAGAGCATCCTGTGACTCTTTCTAGTTTGTTACTAGCTGACTCTCTGAGGACTGTGTTCCAGAGAGACTAAGTTTTATTTGTATTTTTGTTAGTTTCTTCTTTTTATTTCTCATTCCAATACCAAAAAAAAAATATTCACTTGTAGACAAGTGAGCAGTAACTATTTTTATTTTTATTTATTTAAAATTATTAAAAAGCCTTTTTTTAAGAAGCTATTTGGACTCAACCCAACTGTCACCTCTTGCCCTTCACTCCAATAATGCCACACTTGTTGTAGGCCCACTCATCAAGGATGGCCACTTGTTGGCCACCACCACCATTGTAAAACCTAGTGCAAGCAAGGTGGATTTACATAACCATATTAGGGCTTTGAGGGCTTGGTTCGGTTGGGTTTCGACAAGGGAGATGCAATTGTGTTAGAGGTGGAGTGGGGAGGGTGGTCCTATGCAAGTATGCAATGATGAGTGAGTGGGCGGTGTGGCAATCAGAGGACAAATCAATCCTAAGAACAAAGTTGTGACCAGCACAGGCGTTGAGAATGAGGGCAAAGGCAGCGTAAAGGAGGAAGAAGGGGAAGGCAAAGTTGTTGGGGGCGAGGCCGAGGAAGTGCGGGCAATGGAGTGGGAAGGGTGGTCTTACAGTTGTAGTTGTAGCTACAGTGGGGACAGTTGACAACCACGTTGGTCTACTTCTTGAAGGAAACTGATTCAAAAATCTTGTCTTCATGGTCCTTTTCTACTTCTTCGATGTTTGATAGTTTCTCTTTAAGTTCAAGTTCATCTTCAATGGTGATTATTGGCTTTTCTACGAGTTTAGGTTTAGCTTGGGTAGTTGGAGGGGAAGAGGGTCGGTGATGAGTTGCACTTCCTCTGTCGAAGTTGGTTTTTGGGATTCATCGATCATGAATAAATTAGGAAGAAAAAGATTATGAACAAAAAGAAACACAAGTAGGGTGTTGATAATGGTGATGAAGGTGTCCATTTAGTTGTAAGAGTTGAAGTTAAAGAAGCGAAAAGGGACAATAGTGATGGAGAAGTGGAAGGGAGGGTCTAAGTAGCTGAATAGGGTTTAGGGTTTTTTTGTTGGACAAAATGGTCATTTATCAAAAGAAAATAAAATTAATACATTAATAAAGTTTTTATCATCAAATAAATTTGAACTATTCAATTTAATTATTATATATTTAATGATATTTTTTACTTCTATGCTAATAAACCACATGAAAATTATCATTTTATTTCTTGGTTCACCCATGAATCATATGATGTATAGCTCTACTCATCAAATATGAAGTATATGATTTGGGATGAGGAAGGGCCTTTGGGCTGTGTTTTATGCGAAGCTAATGAAGCGACTATCGTGTGGTTGGACTCATGTAACAATTCTTTTGTGATGAATCATTGATTTATTGGTTCTAGTGATAGGTATGTGGTGATGATTCGTACTTTCAACAATCCAAAAACCAAAAAACATCAATAGGTCAAACAGAAAAGAAACAGAAGAAAAAAAATTAAAAAAAAATAATGAAAACTTCTAGAAAGTCTCATTTTGGCGATTCCATCGAATACTCTTTTTCTTTTCTCTCTTTGGTTTTTCTCTCCTCTTTTTCTTCTTCGTTTTCTCTTTATCTCATTTCTTTTCTGTTTTTGCTCTTTCACTCGCATGCCAACACCATCCCCCTCTATCATTTTGCCTAGTTGCTTGCATCTACCATTTCAATTGCTAAGAAGGTTGCGACATGTGAAAAGAGCCCTTGATGGAGTTTTTGCAAAGGAGGTTTCAAGTTGGGAGTTGTGAATTTTTTTTCAATTCTTAATTTAGAATTTCTTAAAAAAATAATTTGTTTTTTAGTTTACATTATAAAAATATTATAATAGTTGGTGACATTTTTTTAAGAATATTAAACAAAAAGTTATTTTCGTTTACGAATATTAAAATTTTTATAAATTCAATTTTAACATTTTAAATAATTATCAAAAACTATATTACAAAATAAAATAACATTATTATGAATGAATTTTGTACCTTGATTATATATAATCATTTAAAAATAATTTTAAAAAAACTTTGGAGAATATCATGCACAAAGCTTAGTATATTTTGTGAATTTTTATCCGAATGCCACAATAAATATTTTTAAACTTCAAAATGCCGCCCTTTAAGAAATATTTTTCAAAATGTCACCGTTTATGTTATGTTGAGAAGTCTTCTCAACGTGTTTTTTTAATATTATTTTTTTAATTTAAAAATTAATTTATGATAATGTATTTTTAATATATATATATA